ATTTTCCCAAACAAATTCGCAAAATATCCAAATTGTTGTTAATAAAAATTATGCTCTCCAAGTGTCATGCATTTAAATGTGTTCATTATGGAAATTTCATTAAAATCTTGCTTGGTGTACAGTTGATTTTGTTTAAAATATTATACATACACATGTATGTATGTTTATTTACATATAGACGTAAGTTTGTGCATATTCAGTGAGTATTTGTGTGTCATCCGTACTAATTTTAGTTAACGCATTTTGCAAAAAAGATTCATAAGTACATACATATGTACATATATATATATATGTGCATAAAGCAATTAAACAATAACAATTGCAAAGTGCATATAATGTTCACAAGTACATATGTTTTATGTGTGTATGTAGCAGATATCAGAATAATAGCGTTCAAAACACATAAACATTTCATAAGCAAAACACATACATTAACAATTTATATTTATATGCACAGTTCAATGACATTTATAAAGAAATACACACATATATATAGAACACACAAAGTTTGTTTTTACATAATCAACATCCAGCCGACGATTCCGCCATTATACCAGCCACATTTTTGTCATCCACATGATTTTCCATTTTTAATTTGCGTGTTGTTTTTATGCGTTATTCATTAAAATTGTTTTTTTTTTTTTTTTTGTAATATGTAGCCATGCAAATGTTTTTTTTTATATAAAATCAAAGTAAAAAATCACAATATTAGGAATATTTATGTGTTAAAAATATAGACGACCAAGCGAATAGACAAAACACATAAAACAAAACAAAAGCGAAATATAAAATAAATTGATTGAATATAAATAGAAATAAAAATCAAAATAGCTGTTTATTTACTAATGTTATATTATTTATGAATGAACAACATAAATATGTTCAAATGTAAATTAAAAGATTTCGATAGCACCAAAAAATAAAACACCAAGTATTAAAAAGCACTCAAATGTACATATTATATTTACATACATATATTTAATTGACAGAATGCATATTACTTATAACAATTTAGCAAACAAGACTCATAAATAAAAAAAAGAACAGAATTTCACTAATTTTGCGCACACATACATACATATAACAGAAAGAAAATGTTAAATAGCATAATTACAAGCTTATAGCCTATTTCCACCGGACCTTAAATGCATTTTAGCTTAAATGTATGTAAACATCGCATTTAAATGCGGTAATTCCCATGTGTTTATTGTTGTATAAACGTCTGTTAACTCACTTTTCAAAGTGAATTAACTCACTTTCGGCAATTTAACAGAAAATGTTATGTTAACATTCGATGCTGTCACTAATAATGTAATAATTTCGGAAGTTTCGGTGTACTTCTTGCCAGAGTCGTGTATTTTCGGATTCAATGAGGGGCGAGATTTTTATTTTGCATGGTGAAATTTTTTGTATAAAAATTCCTTTTTTGCTTTAGTTTTAACATAAATGGCGAAGAGAATTCTTCTCCGCCTTCAAAAAAAACTATAAGAAACTAACAAAAAACAATTGTGAAATATCAAACGATCCCCTCAACATAAAAATATACCTGGCTCTGGTAGCTATCAGCTGATTGCGCAAAATAAATAATTTGAGGGAACAAACAAACAAATATGTAAATAGAAACATCCATAAAAGCATTTTCGTTTCAGCAACGTTTGTCCGTGCAGAAATAATCTGCACTTGCAAGTCTTAAGATTGCAGAAATAGCCAAATAAAATGAATGCGGTCTCTTGAATTCATGATTTCTATAGTTGTGGCAAATTTTGTAAACTGCAAATGTAAACAAAAATCAGCTGTTTGAGTTAACTCACTTTCGGTGGAAACGTTTGACATTTCATTTACTTAACAGAGGCCTTAAATGCATTTAAGTGCTAGGTGGAAAAAGGCTATTAGTCTCACGAAAAAACAAGATAACCGAAAAGATGCGTAAATTCAAAAATATTCTAATTATGTATGTATGCGTGTATATGTATGTTTATGTATGCACGTAGTTCTAAAAGCAACGACAAACACTTTAAAGACGGTGGATAGAGTTATATGTACATTATAAAGTCTTCATATCGTCAACTCGTCGATCAATTTCACGTTAATCAAAAGATGTCCATCGATTTCGTTGAATTATTTGAAAATATTAACTTTAAAGTAGTTATCAAAATAAATTTTACTTCGTTTTTACCTTAAACGAAAAGCTGTCGTTAATGTTAAATCGTTAACAGTTAATGTTGAATCGTTAATAGATAATGTTGAATCATTAACAGTTAATGTTGAATCGTTAACAGTGAATATTGAATTGTTAACAGTTAATGTTGAATGTTCAAATTGAAGTGAACTGTTATTATCGTTTACGATGAGTTTGTTCAGTTTCAACATTAACAGTTTCATTCCCTTTCGATAAGATGGCGCCGAAACGATATAATTTCGTTAAGTTTACTTTTAATATTAACAAAACGAAATGGCTACTTTTAGTTAGCTGCGTGAGTAGTAGTTAACGGGTCTCGATATAAATTTATACATATGTACAAGAATGTACATAAGTAGAAGATTTTCTATTGGCCAAATCGCAGCGTGGACTTAACTATGAAGACAAGCGTAACAAGCCAGTTTGTGCAATTTCACCTACAGTCCGGCAACAATAACAGCACTGGTCTCGCTTACACTGAATTCCAAACTAGTGGAAAATGTGGCGGATCTCTACAGGACAGACTGTTTCTCACAGCGGATGAACTTGCTAAGCAAGGCAAGGGTCTTACCTTCTTCCAGATTCTTCTTGATAAAAAAACGCATTGGTATGTTTTTTTCCACATGCAAACTGCTTCTTACTACAACCATCCGCAAATCCTGGCACACCAGGCATGGGATTAAAAGAGATCACGAGATATGTACGCCACTGTCTAATAGGGCGTCACGTGGAAAGAGGATGAGGAGGAGGAAAGTATCACCAATCTCTTAACGGCTGTCTTCCAACTCTATTGCCTGGATGGTCTGCCGAATGTAGACGAAGTCAAGTAATGGTTCTAATGGGGATCATTTGACAAATAAAAACTACGCCAGTAATAAATATAAAACTATACACGCTTCAACAATGCATTGAAATTATTAAAATTCACAATAAAAATTGTGAAACCCGCATAGCCGCTTCGTAAAACTAAAACGTTTTTCGGTCGTAGTGTGGCAACTTATCGTACCGCAATATAGAAATTGGTAGAAAAAATTAAGCTATTGGCAGAAGTTAATGGTGTGAAGAGTTTGCGGACCATATTATCTCTCGTAGAGGTGATCACAATTGCCCACCGATATTTTGTGATTTAAAACCTTTGGTTTCTTCCTTTGGAATTCGTGAAGCTATTGAGAGCAAGCGCAGCCACTTTACGATTTTGTGATGGAAAGTTCGATAAAAAGGATATGGTCCTTTTACATTTAAATAAACACCCGATCATTTATCTCAAAAATTTTCAATTTATAGCATGTATATATATTGTTTTGCATTTGACAAGATTTAAAGTGGCTTTAGATGATTTTTTAAGGTGAAGGTTCTTTGCCATACCTTATTGTATAATGAATTTAAAGTACGTCGAAACAAAATTATAATTTATTTATCTAATTAATGAACAATTCGTAATGGGAAAGATAACCAAAAATGTTAAGCCATTTTAAGAACTAAACAAAACTGATTAGTTGCATCATCTATGGGAATACGCAAATATATACTAACCCAGTACATGAGAGCCTAAGCTTGTAAATACAAATATAAATCAATACTTCATTATAATAAATTGTATCATAATTAGATATGCTTATACACAAACATAAATATAATATATACATTTGCTAAATCTGACAGCGTACTTTATTGTATGAGATTTTGCTAATGACGTTCTACATACATATACATATCTAAAGGTAAATGGGACACGCACTACAAATATTTATAATAAAAACATTAATTAATTAATACCAAGCAATTAAGTACATATATACATATATATGTTAGTTATTGAGCCATTACACCTTAGATAGATAATAAACATACGTCATTAATTAATTTAATAGCCAATTACTGTAGATTATATTACTTTGTCTATGACTTTATACAGATTTAAAAAAAAAAATAAGTACACCGAGCGTTACCACGTAACCAAATAAGCAAATATTATTATAAAAAAAACTGACGCACGACAAAAAGTAAATATTATATGTACACATACATATATTAGCGATATCAATATGAAAATATGAATAAATTCAAACACTTTTTTATATTTTTTTTTTTATACTTCACAAAAACTATATTTATAATCAAAAAAAATGTGTAATTTACTACATATACACATATGTATGTGTAGCAAATATTTAATACCAGTGTGATCGAGCAATAACTAGTTAAATTAAATTAAATTATGTGCATTTAAAAGCAAATACTGGCTATTTTTTAATGAGTTTCTATGTACATACATATATATTTTTAGTTGTGTATGTATCACAATGTCTCCTTTATAAAAGCAATAGATATTTGCATGCATATGTGTAAGTTATTCGTATTTTATACAAGCTTTTAATTGTTATTATCATTTGACACCTTTTCCGATATAGTCTTAGGTAATGGTTCATTAGCCACATTGCCTGCAGCTATTGCTATAGATACGGCACTGTTAGAATTAGAAAATAATTTATTGTCATATTGTTAGATACAGATGTCGAGTGTTGAAATAAGAAGGAGTAGTTATTTATTTACAAATTTTTTTTTTTTTTCAAAATTAATTATATTTAGAGTGCATTGGAAAATTAAAGGTGTATGTATATAACGTAGTTTTAGTAGTATTAGAAAGTATTATTGAAGTAGTGCGGTTTTTGTTTCTAATAGTAGCGTGCATTTTAATAAGAAGCTTATATTAAGAATAATTCAATAACGAGGAAAAAATCCTTTTATTTTCAATCATACATATGCCATGTATAATTTTGATTAATTTTTAGACCCAATGTGTATAAAAACTCCGACTCACCTTGCATAACTTGAATTGGCATTCTTTATCGCAAAACTATTCTGACTGGGAAGCACGAACCTCTGGATCCACTATATCGTTAGATGATTTTTTTTTAGTAAAGAAAATAGATGAGATATTAAAATTAAAAATATTAAATGTATGCCATATTTTAATAGTAAAAACAGAAATTTTCTGATTGTATACAACATTGGACTATCTAATAAAATAAAATATTCATATGTACCTATGAAACGTTACCGGTATATACGTTTCACGGTCAGTAAGGAACTGAGGTCTCCGAAACACAACCAATCATATTATATGTCATTGCGATAACGCGATATATATATATATAATATATATAATGAAAACGTATACTTATTTATTAGGTATACTAAAAAAAGAGCACAGAGAGCTCAAAGATTTATTATAAATCAATATTCGAAATATATTTAAGAATATTCTTCCACCACTTAATGGCTGCACCCACCAGCAATCGTTTCATGACTAGCTATCACATAGGCACAACCTCTAACCACCTATAAATCAATCAAAGTTAAGAAATCAAAGTGAATGACTACTCAAGACAAGGTATAAAGATTTCTCCTATGAGCATTAGTCACGTAGATTGATAAATGAAATATACTTCCAGATAAGTAAAGCCAGTCTGACGACAGGAATTTAGCATATGTACTTGCACAATCTTATTGACAAGGGCATACATCGTGTGTATTGTATATACCCAAAAAAAGTGCTAAGATGATTCAACGGTGCTAACAAAGTATAAAAACAATAATTCACTTAGAAACAATATTGAAGCGGAAAATGCATGTATGTATGTATATTACTATTGTAAGACTTGAAAAAAAAAAACTTTGCGATAAAAATTAATTTTTTTTTATAAATTATTGCTGTCAGTAAGGTATTAAAATGATTTGAAAAGAACTCACAAGATAGGAGATTTCATTTATTTAAATGTTAAAGTCTGCTGCCATAAAATCGTTGCACCTAAATATCTACCTAAAACTTTATGTAATGTTTCAGTTGTAAATTACTTCAGAAACACTAAGCACATTAACCGATATCAATGATATGTTAGTCAATATTGTATATTCTACCGAATTGTTAGCAAATATTTAAACCCTTTAAACGCTGTCAATAATTTTTCTTACATAAGTTGTAGTCTCATTCCCCTTTTTACTTTTACTCACCCGATTATTCATAAATCTTTGATTGCCCATGAAGGCGATCATATGTATCACAAGGTATAGATTAAAAAGCAGATATAAAACGCCAACTATGCCTGTAAAAATGTGCCATTAATTTTAAGAATATTAAAAATATCAAATTTCTATAAAATGATCTGTTACTTACAAACTAAGCCTAATAAACCACCCTCCAGCGCAGCCGTTTCCACTTGCACGACAACGAAGTAGATGTTCACCGTAATTACAACAATCGTTAGCAGTATAGATATAACCTTGTTGGTGCTTTTTTTTTTTTTTGTTTTTGAAAGAAAAATATAATTAGCATTTCTTAAATTTTTCAAATAATTATTATTTACTCACACTCCATTAACAAATTCACTCATTATGGCCACACATGAAGTGAATGCTATTGTTGGTATGGCGGCGAAAGGCAATTGTAAAGACATCACTGCATTCAAAATATCATTCAAATGTGTCAAGTCTTCCATACGAGTAAAGAATGCCAAACAGAATGTTGGTATAATGGCAATTAAACGTGTGAAGAGCACACGACGCCAACGTGGCCATTGCAAATTCAAGAAACCTTCCATTGAAAACTGTCCTGCATAGGTACCGGTCATAGTAGAGCTCTGACCCGCAGCTAAAATGCCAACGCCCCATATATACATGGCCATAGCACCGAAAGTACAACCCAAGAATAAGCCACCTTTGTAGATATCAGCATCGATGAGATCTGTATTATTATGAGCGTCCGTAAATGATGCCTTTGCATCATCATACATTGTTTTGTTGACGCAAACATCAAGCTGAATCGAAAATAGAAAAAGTAGATATCATTAATATACGATTATTGTAAATGAAAATATTTAAATGTTGTCTACATACCACATCTTGATTGGTTTTACCATACATGCCATGCGCAAAGACTGCAACTACGAAAAGATTTATAATGAGGGACACGAAAAGCGCTACCGACGCCTCGATAAAGAAATAAAAATTTGCCTCGCTAACTTTTTTCGGTTGTCGTCGATCAATATCACGAGACTGAAGAATAAAAAATAATAATAATAAAAAACCATTAAATACATATTGTACAGTTTTTCTTACTTTGACTAAGGCAGAATGTAGATACAGATTGTGGGGCATTATCACAGCGCCCACTATACCCACAGCCTGCAGCAGGACATTTTCATTGCAATCCTTGCACCATGGCACAAACATTCCTTCCAACACTTCAACTTGACTTGGCGCTGAGACGATATACTGGAATGAAATCAATTATTTGGTTTTCGTATTTAGTATTTTACTGTTTGAAAAATGTGTGTCTAAGATTATTCATAAAACAAACTAAATAGACTTTTTTGAAAAAAGTTCAGTATTAGTTTCAATTTAAAATACAATTCCAATACCAGAAAACACGGAATTAAAGATAGTAACAATAAATAATCAAAAGATCCTTCGCCATTTTTTTTAAAAAGACACGTTATTGTTGTTGTTGTAGCAGTGAGCTGCTTAGGAGCAGGCAAGATGAGTCTAAGTCAGCGAGGTCATCTTGCGGAAGGTGCAGGGAATGAGCTGTTTCGCTGTATTCGGACCAGAGGGAAAGGTGGGTTAGGTGAGTTGGTTTTAGGGAGCATGCAAAGATGTGGTTAGTATCGTGCGGGTTCATTGCATGGAAGACATACGTTTGGCATGTCCGGGTCAAGTGGACAGGAATTTAGTCAATTACAATAACCGGATCTTGATTGTGGCAACGTCTGAAGGTTTACTGTCACGGTTCTGAGGGCGGTGTTTTGGCAGGCTTATAGGTTCTTCATCTGAGTTCATGCTTTCGAATGTAGACCCCAGTAACTTCGAGAAGTTAATAGTTGAAATTTTTACAACATCGACTTTCACTTCGAGTTCGCGCCGCAACTCCTTTGTCCAGCTTGTGAAGAGGGCACCAGACGAGTTCGCAGGCTGTAGATGTAGTTGTCTTTCAATGGAAAAGTTGGAAAAGTCATCGGGAAAGCAGTTCACTTTCGAACATAAGTCATAAATTATCTGACCAAACACAAATATCGAATACTCATCGGCATATGAGTTCAGTGAAACTCCTTGTGTACCATGTCAAAAGCTTTTGACAGATCGGGCTGGTTTTGGTTGAGGTCATTGACTATCTGGCTGTTTATGGCGTTAAGTGCAGTTGGAGTGCCATACACTTTTCGGAAACCATGCTGATATGCACCTGGACTCAGATGGCGTGTAAAGGTCGCGAGCAACAAGACCTTAAGAGTCTTTATTACTGGAGAGATGCGAGATATCGGCCAATATGACTCTCCTTTGCTAGGTGGTTACCACGGTTTTAGTAGAAGGACCACCGTACCCATTTTCCAAATGTCGGGTATTTTTAGAGTGAGACCAAAAACAAATTGAGATTGGATTAGATGTCAACTTGGCCCAAAATCTCCTTACTGAGATCCCTGATTTCCGGAATCGACATGACGAATGAAATCGCATCTAGCTGCTAGAAGCACTTTAGGCAGGAAATTACGGCCAGCTGGTATGATACTAGCTGCAACTGCAACAGAGACAAAAATCCTGTGAAAGATTGAGAATCCCTTCCGCGAATCCGGTCCAGTTAGCTTCTTTAACTACTAGCTTCTTTAACGAACGTCCGGTGACCATAAAAACAAAGTCGGGAAGACTATCAATCGAGACTATTATAGGAAAGTGATCTGATGCTGGCATACACGTCAACATCGGTCGTCCAGCTATTCTGTTTATTAGATTCGCAATTGTTAATTTCCTCGTTCAAGGTGCTGAATGTCGAATCATCTATCTTCATTTCAGAATGCGAAACAGAACAACAAGTAATGAGGAATGAATATATTAAATATTTCAAACCCGAAATTCCTTAATCGGATGTTTATACTCTGACATTTTAGCGTGGTATACCTGCGAATCAACTGCCGTGAAGGTTGAGCGCTGGCAGCATAGGGTCCCATAACGTACCTATATGTCTTATAGCATGAGAGGAACTTAAGATATCTCTAATTTCTAGTTGGAAAATAAAAATCAGAATTTTTTTAAAATTTATTGATTTCTTTAACTTTTGGTTATATGGGTCACAAACAATAATTATTATTAAATAATAATAAAAAAATATCGCTCGGAAAATAATATTTATTCCATTAACGTTATTTTTTCGCTCAAAATATCGATCAAGCGCAGATAACTCTTTCAGCGATCTCTATAAGATTACACATCGATCTTTCCAAAAAAATTCAGTTGAAAACTTCTTCGCGTTTGAGTGATAATTTAAACGAAAAATTTCCGTTCAAACAATAATAGCTTTTTACCGAGCAACTATTTTGCTCAAGATATAAACAAATACTGTTATTTACAATCCCCCGTTAAAATAATATTTGAAAATTTCTGCAATATACATTGGAAATTAGTCATACAATTTGCACTTAAAATTAAATATTAGGAAAACATAAGGACTACAAGATAGATAGAGGCAAATCTACGCGTCTAATTACTATGATAGTTAAAGTAATACTATACCGTATTAGCTACTCATTTTAAAGCAAATGAGGAATGCATTTAGTATAAGAGCTTTGTAACCGCTGTAGGGATTTTCGGCAGAACTCCTCCTCCAATTTGCATCTTAATGTTTTTCCAACAAATGGAGGGACCTACAGTTTATACTAAGCCGCCTCCGAACGGCTGATTGTTTTTTAATGAAGAGCTATATTTCATGCCATAAATACGCTCGGAGGGGTAGACTTTCCCTATTGAGAGGCGACCGCAATTATTATAGAAAATTTGAACCCGCGACTTCCGAATGGCAGTACACAATGCGTGGCCGGCAATGCCTACATACTCATACATATAAATATATGCATGAATGTATATACATATATATGTATATAAAATAAGAATAAATTTATAACGCATTTACTTTAATTTTCAAAGGAATTTCCAATAATAATTTTCAATTTCAGTTGAATAGAATTAAAAATTATTTATTTCCTGGTGCCAACTAAAATACGGTTACATGATCATATGAAATATTTTAACTTTAGCGTCTTTCTGCTGATTAATTTATTACTGCTGTATATTCAGTTCCTTCAGTACTACGTTTCTGCGCTTTTTTATTATTTCCTTAGAAAACTTCATTTCCCAAATGTTTGCATTTTTATCTGTAGCATTGTAAATTATCAAACGTACATATACACATACATTTACACATACATTTACACATACATTTACCACACGGTTATTTAATATTGTCAACTGTAATGGGAAAGACTTGATTATTCTCCTGACAAGCAAAAAATCAAACAAGTAAGGTAGACACAATTAAGAAGAAGCAGGTATAAGGTAGCCAGTTGTGTAAGTTTGTAACACAGTTTGTGTCAATTCTACTTACACCCATAGACCCACAAACTGTACACACAACAGATGGGAGCGAAATACCGCAGTGAATTTCATAGTTGAAGACATTTAAGCTAATAGACTTGGCACGAATAACTGACATTGTAAATCTCGGCGGCAGCAGACGAACACCCAAACATACATTAAATACATTTACGTTGATAGAACTTAAAAGTTTAATATTTTTATATATATTTATTATGAGCAAAAAAAAAAAAATACACAAAATATTATTTGCAAAATGGGGCGGCAACTGATAAGAAATTATATAGAAAAAGTCTCGGCGCATTGATATTTAAATGTGATCTGATGTAATTGTTTTAAGCAAAATAAATACACTGCGCGACAACCGATTAGCACAGTCTCTAACCTATCAGTTTAAAGGAAAATAACTCCTTACTCTGAATATGTTTCATGCGTATTCTATTTTTAATTTTATTCTGTTTTATTTTCGCTCTTTCTAAGTATAACTGTGAGCTCTAGAAGTGTACCGTTATTTTGCTTTGCTTTTTTTCTTTTTCTGCCTTGATTAGGTGTTTAAGTTTATTATTTATTTATTGGGACTAATTATCCATAAAATAAAGTAATAATGGGCAAAGGAAAACCGTTGGACGAGTCTGAAAAAGACAAAATAAAGGCTTACAGAGAGAGCGGGCACTCTATTCTTCGAATATCAAAAAATATTAAGCGCAGGCGTAAAGTTATTACCGCAAAACTGGTGTTAAAGCGTGCGTTCGGACTGTGCAATGAGTTATTTCGAATGCTGAACATATGAAGCATCTAAAATAAAAACCACCTCTAAACCAACTTAGAAAGATGCAACGACTCAATTTCTGTCGATCAAAATATGACCTGGACTAAGGAGTGGGAGCGTGTAGTCTTTTCAGATGAAAAAAGGTTCAATTTTGAGGGTCCTGACGGCTATGCCTACTACTTTCATGATCTCAGAAAGGAAAAGCAGACTTTAGATCGATTGCCCAGCCGTGCGGGTGGTGTCATGGTGTGGGAAGTTTTAACATGCTTTGGCACTATAGAACTGCAGTTTCTTACCAGCCATATTAATGCCATTGCGTACAAAATACTGTACTAAATACGACTTTCCCTGCAATCAAGGACATTTTAAGACCCTTGAAATGGTTGTCGCGCAGTGTATAATGCTTCTTACATACTTATAAATAAGACATATAAAAGTGCAAATCTTCTTTGGTTTACAATGAGGCGAAGAAGCTTGACCAAAAATCCCACATACATATTTCCAAAAAGTCTTGTTATGGAGACTTTTTTTAAAGAACGAGCAGTCAAATGATTGCGTTGTTGATTTTAATGAATTTACAACTGTTTAATAATTAAAAGAAAAACTAAGAAAATATTATTTTTAATAAATAAAACCATACTAGAAGCTTTTTAGGATTTTACTCTTGCTTTCACATAATTTATATTTATTTCTTGCTTGAATTACCTAATAAATTCGTAAATAACAAATATAACAAAAATAAAAACAATTCTTCAAAGAAAATGCATATTAATGCAAATGAATGCAAACAAAATAAAAGCTATTAATTCGCCGGGTAGTAAAATTAAGGTAAATATATATATGTAGTTAGTAAACAATGAAAGAGCAAAACGTTTTGAGCGGAAGTTGTTACATACTACTATTTAGAGAGAGCAATTTTTATATTAAATTCGTTTGGGCGCGAATAGATTTAGTTAAAAAAAAAGTATATGCACTAACGTCAAGTTTAGAGTGGCATTAATGTAAGTACATACACATATATTATATGCATATACATATATGTTACGTAATAATCATATTTGAGAAAATATTAAATACATATTATATAAAATATAACTATACAAAGAAATATTTTTTAAATAACATAGAATATGACGTTATATAGCATTTACTTCCGATGCATATACTATGCACAGGGGTGGCACACTAATTAGCACACCCTACCATAGTCCAATAATACTGCTTGAAAATGGAATATAACAGTATTTTAGGTAATTTTTGTTTTAAATGTTAATAACGTAATTTTTTTTACCATTAGAAATCTATTATTTCTTAATTTTTGGATCGGATTCAAAGATGTATTCCTTAATTTCATTGAGACTTTTGCTTAAAACTGGAATTTAAATTAGCCCATCTTGACATCAAAAAAGTGTTCCATAAATTCTTTGCGTTTAAGGTAGTGATTTTTCTTCGAAATTTACTTTGAATTAATTTTTTCATATATAAATATGTACATTCGGCAAGCGCTTAAAGGCATTTTTGCATCTTTCGCACAAATACGACCTGCAAATCAGGAGGAATACCGCGTAAACATTTTCAGAGGGACTGTTAGACAGCGGCTTTTGGAAAACAACCTTCGGGGATGCCAAAGTTTAAAAGAGTCAAAATTTTCAAACAATAATCAATAATAAGGATCCTCCTCATTCCTTCAACTCACACGGACCTGATGGGCGAACTTATGTGCGATACCCCCCATATAAATAATTCGAAGCATACCAGGAAGACGGTTAAAATCGGTGGTGGAAGTGTTATGATGTGGGATTGCTTTACGAAGCATGGTGTTGGTTCTATTGTGCAGATAACGGGCAAGATTCTGTAACATACCAGTTCTTGCTTAAAAATTATCTTCTACCGTTTTTGAAGACTTACCGTCATCTCTATACAGCCCCGCAGTTTTTCAAGAAGACTATGCGCCCTGCCAAAGCTCAAAGTCGCTTTAAAACCATCAAACTCTACTGCTGAATTGCTTCTATTTTTATTTTTTTAATAATTTCTTATTTGTTTCCTTTTAACGTGTTTCAACTCCTTTTCGATATTCTAATTTTTCTTTAATAAACGGTAGTAAGCATATACACGTATACGACCGATTTTTCAAATTAGAGGTTTGCCAAAAAAGTATCTCAGAGCATGATATTTTGAATTGCCACCAAAAATGATCAGAATCGGTGGCCCCATACAACTGATTTATACTGCTATGTGTTTCTGGGTCAAAAATCTGTTTTGTATTGCATCGAAAATCATCGAAATCGCAAGTGTTCATCATATAGCCCCCATATAACCGATTTGTGCGGTTATGAGAATTAATATTTAATCATAAAATAAAACAACATAAATTTCAAATGATCATGAAATGTATATAGACTTCGAAGACAGGTCTTTTTTCTTTTTCTATAACTAGTTTCTATAATACATATTGAAAGTTAGTCTAGCCAAGGCTCGAACCCAATGACCTTCCAAATCGTAATTCGCACTGTTTACCGTTCGACTGATGGGGATTTATATAGTTATCCACGCCAGCAACATTTATATGCGGGTATATATACATAATTGGCAAACCACATATATTTGTGGTTTTGCGTCTTGATGTTTTTTCAATAAATGGAGGGACCTACAGTTTATACTGCCTCCGAATGGCTGATGGTTCTTTATGAGGAACTTTTATTTTATATCAGAAACATACTCAGAGGGTTTGATATTCTCTGGCGGGGGGCGACCAAAAAAGCAAATTTAACTCAATTTTTTATTTAAAATAATTTACTACAACTTTTGGATGTTGGTTGTAGCAGGGTTTTAACCCGAGACTTCCCAATGGCAGTACTCAATGTTAACCAGCAAATAAAGCAATTAATATACTAACTAAATAATTGGCAATTTATAGTTGTTAACCAATCTAGAACCGTAAGAAATTCGATTTTAAGCAATAAACTAAAAAATTAAAATTATTTACCTCATAACCGAAGGTAATCGCCATGATTGAGATGAGTAAGCCAAAAAAGAACTCTAATTTTCTCAAACCATATTTATCCAGAAATAAAAATGTAAACGTATCGACGATTGTTATCAGTACACCACCCCACAGTGGAACACTGAAAAGAGACAGCAAATAATATATGTACATACTTATATATTCGCAGAATCAATTTACAATGCAAATAAAGCTATTAAAAAATCAACACCATCACAAAATCAATGCAAAAGCGAAAAGCAATAAAAAGGTGTTTACATGCAAGTTGATGTACACATACATACGAGTACACATATATTAACTGTATACTTACATTTTATTTGACAACAGGTAAATGGCAATTGCCGTACCAATCACTTCCTGCATGTCCGATCCAATAATTGCGATTTCTATCATTATCCATAATATCACACGTGGAAATCTTCTGTATTGTCGATAGCACATTTCCGCCAAATGTAGGCCTGTTACAACACCCAATCTATATATACATATATATATTTGTAAAAGCCATGAAATATCACAAATTTAACATTAATTTTATCATTCTTTGTTTATTATTATCTTATTACCTCGCAGCCAAGCGCTGCATTAATAAACCCAAAACCGTCGCCCATAAAAGCACCCATAAGATTTGGTACTTAGCTGCAGCTCCGCTCTGTAAATCCGATTCTATGTTGCCCGGATCCAAGTATGCTATGGACATGAGAAACCCAGGACCAGTGAACGCCCATAATTTGCGAAAACTGAAGCTGGTCTATGGAAAGTAGATTAAAAAAAAAATATTTAAAAAATTAACAACAATAATAGACGAAAAAGATAGACTTTACGAAAATTGTACATTTTATATTGTATTTATTGGCAAAAACATTTAAATCATTGGCGACTTACTCGCTTCGCTGTAATAACAATTAAACGAAAAATGCTTTCAATCACACTCAAGTGAGTCATATTCCACTCGACATGGAGCGCACAATTTTTTTGTATAATAACAAAACAGTTATATACATATATATATATATATATTTGGCGCTTTATAATCGCTGAAACGATTTTTGGCCGCGCTCCTCCTCCAATTTGTGGTTTTCTATCTTGTTGTTTTTCCAACAAATGGAGGGGCCTACATTTCACACTAAGCCGCCTATGAACGGCTAACAGTTTTTTTTTTGAGGAGCCTTTATTTCATCTCAAAAATACACTCGGAGGGGTTGACATCCCCTGCCGACGGGCGACCGCAATTAATTTTCTAAAACTTTTTGAATGTTATTACGACACCAGGATTTGAACCCAACCCCCCCAAATGGCAGTACGCAACGCTAACCACTCGGCTACCGCGGCCCCCTCTCGGTTACAACAAAACAGTTAATAAAAATAATTATAACTGAAAAACTAACTGTGTCAATTTATATTAAAAACAAATCAATGTGCGTGTGTGTTATTTAATTCTTCGAGGCGATTACACGTGCCTTTGTACATACATATATTAATTTCCACATTTGGCGGTTTTCTCCATCAAGTTCAAGTTTTTGAACTTCCAATCATAGGGCTCACTTGACAGAAGCTTTGAATTCTACATTCTACATTGGCCCTGCGGTTTTCATTGATCAATATTGATTATAAAACCACAAAACCTACACAGATATATGAGCTGAAAAGAGAAAAGAAATCTGCTTTCTTACTACGCAACTAAATTCGGATTTGCTTACGTCGCATTGTCGCATTGTTTTTTATTTTTTTTTTTTGATTCTTTGACCGAGCTTCGGACTTACGTCTGCAAGTTCGTATTCGACTTCTCTTTGGGAGTAGATGGGCGACAATCAGGAGGAAGTAGGGGTTTGATGAAATATGTAAAATTTTTTATTGAAAGGCATGACTCCACCTGAACTTTCCAATGACGTGGAGATCTTCATTTTTCTCTGTTTCCACCGGCAAGTACTGAAAAGAATACTTTCAACTGGAATGCTCTCATTCATTCATTCGAACAACACAACCAAGTCATCGTCTCATCGTGTGCCAATACACAAAAGAACATACATATTCCGCATATTTTCTATCTCGAAAACATGCCACATATCAGATATTGTTATCGTACAGGTCTCCGCACCACATATCAGCAACTTGTAGAATGTGAACTTTGTTTCCCGAGAGAGAACTTTACTTCTCATTGGCCTAAAGGGTTCAAAGTAGTATCTGTGTGTTACCGGTTATTATTTCCAGCTTAAAATTATTATTGGTGTTAATGCTCAGGGGATTAGTATAGCGTACTGCCATTCTGAGCACCAGTGTTAGAATCCTGGTGCGACCAACAAAGAAAAATAAAAATTTTTCTAATTACCGTCGCCCCTTAGCAGGGAATGTCAACCCTCCGAGGATATTTCTGGCGCGAAATAAAAGCTCCTGATAAAAGCCATCAGGATTTCGCAGACGGAGCTGGGCCGAAAATCGTTGCAGTGGTTAAAATGACAAATATTTCGACTTGTCCTCGCTCACTAACAGACCCATATTCCTCGCTTCCTTATCCAGTCCGAAGAAAACAGAACTGACAGCGGGGTTGTTGAGGCCAAAAATAACTACATATACAAGTATGCTCAACTTACACACCACCGACTACATAGATTACTACATAAATCTCGTAATACATCGAGAACTACATTGATATTTAACGGTATTTGAAATTTAAAAAAATATTGAATTGTTTTCAATAACGCTACTCACTTGATCAGCCTGTGGAATTAGCACCTTTTCATCGCTGAAATATGCCTGTTTAGCTGCTGGCTTCAGGTATGTGCCCTCATTGGGTATGACAAATGGTTGATGTTGCGGACGAGATGTGCTACTTCGCGGTGAATTCGTTGAAGAACTCGCAGTTGGTTCGTCATTTTGTTCGGTGTTTTTTGAAAATGTACCATTTGAAGCCATACTAAAAATAAGAGGAAAGAAAATATTGATAAATGGTTAACAATTAATTTTAAATTTTACGCTTGCCGGCATTCGTTAAAGTATTTAATTCATTTGGATAAACATTTTATATGTACATAGTGTACTTGTATACATGTGTATGAATTAATAAGTAATTAACAGTAATTTCAACAATTGCAGTGCTTCTTATTCGTTGGCACTCTTATCGTAACGAAACAGCGACGAACCATAGTTTCTGTTACAGCTGATAAATGTTGAGTGGTGGGATTCACTATTATGTTTTAACGAATTTCGATCATTCGCTGTACATATTTTAACGATATTCGCTAGCGCTATATCAGCTGCTGTCGCCATTTACTCGACAAAGCGTTAATTAAACGAGCAATATTTTGAAGTTGTTAGCGTCATTTATAAAAGTTTTATATTTTATTTGGGTTAAACTAAAGTAAATTACCTAAATTACCTAGGCAACATAAAAACAAACAAAAAATAATAATTATCAAAACAAAAAACAGATTTAGTTGAAGAAATCGTTTCTCAAATAGATAGCCAACCAAAAGGTAAAAGAATAATGGCAACATCTATAAAAAAAACAAGTAACTTGGAAGTGTTTTCCAATTTTCGATTCTTCGTAACTGGATGCTAAAAAGTCTTGCTGAAGAGCAAAGGAGATTTTAAATCAACCAGTTAAATAATTTTTGCAGAGGTTAGATTTTCCATGACCCAAAGAATAGGCTGCTATTTCTGCAAATGTCACTGTTGAAGCTTTTTGTTGACATTTGACAAGTAAAAATTACGCCAGTGATAAAAATATATCGATAAACGCTTAAACAACGCAATGAAGTTATTAAAACTATAAAAATGATGAAAACCTGGCAGAGACGGTTCGTAAAACTGAACCATTTTTCGGTTGTCGTGAAGCATCTTGTCGGAGCGCAATACAGAAATTGGTAGAAAAAATTGAGCTTACAGTCCTATTCTGTCGAGGTAGCAAAATTTACTTTAGTTTAAAAATTTACCATTTAGTAAATTTTGCTACTATTTCGTATTCTGAGTTCACTGTCACCCTGTAAATTTTGTTACCAGCGAAATTGTTTAAGAAAACCCAAAATGGGTAGGCATAATTTAGGACAGAAATTCATTGAAGATGAAGAAAAAAGTGTAAACAAGCGTATGCTAAGAAGCTGCGAGAGAAAAAATTACCCTTTTAATTTGGAAGATAGCGTCTTTATTCATTTTTCGTTTAGGCATATTTCCCAACATTAGGTTACAATATTTATGATTTAATAAAGAAATAAATAAAACTTATTTATTTTGTTGTGCTCCGCATTAAATTCCGATGTGAATATTTTTCTTCTTACTTTATCAACTGGCAAATGTAATTTGACAAGGACGACAAAAGCAGTGCTGCCAAAGTTTTATCAAACATTGTAACCAGTTCGCCAGAATACCAGATTCAATTTCGGGCGTTAAAAAAAAGTAGCAAAATTTCATTTACCGGTAACAGTGAGAATAGGCCAGATAGGGACAAGTTATTTATGTGAGGAATAAAACACGCGCACATCGTTCAAGAGCAACTGGGAATATTGCTGCTGTAGCCCAAAGTGTTGAAGAAACACCAGGCTTTGTCCATTTCTAGTGGTACACTGTATTTTGCATAAAGACGGGCGTATCAAGGCTTACAAAGTCAGTTAATACAAAAACTGAAGCCTGTTAATCATGAGCAACGTCATGTTTTTGCTGATTGGGTCCTTGAAATACATGAAAATTATCCGTAATTTCATCGAAAAATCATCATGATTGATGAAACCCAATTCCACTTCGATGGCTACGTCGACAAGCAGAACTGTCGCTTCCGGGGCTCGAAAACCCATGCTGGCGCTGGACCTCACTTTATCGAAAATGAATGGATTACACTACCGAGAGATATTTTCTTTCTGTGTTAAATTGTGATGCTACCTTTACTCCGTTTTAATAAACAGGAAATGTTAGTTGTACCAACGAGCCGAAAAATCACATCGACAAAAGTTACTGAATGCACTACAGATGTACATATGTATGTTATGTGTTATATGTATAAGTATATGCAAAGTAAGCTTGCTTTCTGATTTGTTTGCAAAATTATTTTCAGCCTTCAATTTTTCGCTTGCAGATAAATTTTGACCGGAAAACGAAATGAAACGAGCATACACCAAAAAAAAAAAATTAATGGAATGGAATCAAATTAATAACGCTTACAACTTTACTCGCTATACTATATGTACATTTATGTATGTATGTATATAATTGAATATAAGTACATTACACGTTGTACTAATCTTTCAGTGCGAATATTAGTTTACTGTTGGCGCTTAACTAATTGCATTGAAATTTCTCATAAAACTACCGATCATTATTTTTAACAATGTGAAAATTTATCGTATTTACGGTAATTATTTGTACTCGAAGCGAAGCAATAAACAAAACGAAAACACTTGCATGGAAAGATTTTTCTCTACACATACGTCAACAAATATATTAATATTTAATACTATTTACAAAAATTAAAATATAAAACAAATAAAAAATAATTCGTATAATTGTTTTTGTTTTAGCATAGATATAAATTTTCTTCATCTATAACTCTTTCACAACTATCTCATGATTTTTCAATCGTAAACATATAAAATGCACGTACTTATTGTTTTTATTTAATTGCGATAATTAGCATAGCTCCCGCATTCATTTCAATTTTAAATGAGAAATGTCAAAGTGTTGCAATAATTATTTGATATTAATGGAAGCATGCATAATAAATACATTTGTATTTATGTATGTACATTTATTATGGATATTTAAAAGGTTCGGCTTTGAGATTACTCCACTTGACTGGAATTATGTTGGAACCATTCGTCGTACTCACATAGCTACCGTCCGACCTTCTGCTTGCCCACAAACTAGTCCTTCAAATGTTGATATACTTCAGTTTTTGAGTTATCTCAACCAAACAAATCGGACCACTATAGCATATATTCCACGGATTTTTCAGATTTGAGATTTTGACTCATGGATTTGGTGTTCTGCACACTCATAATAGATTACACATTGTAGCTGAGCCGACAGATAAAGGAAGGTGGACCCACCCATAGGCTCATTAAGAACCTACCAGTCTAGATTGAGAGAGAACATGGAAAATAGACTTCTACCTGTTACAGTTCTTGTCAGGCCATGGCTGTTTCAGTGAAAATCTTCACAGATTCCTCCACGATGACGAGACTCAATGTTCCGTCTGTAGTAGTGCCGTAGAAAAAAAACGGTGCATATCTTTTCCTCCTGCTCTTGGTATAAAGTGAAGAAATCTACTATAAAGCAAACAATAAACGAGTCACATGCTGCAGTCGAGGTGAAGAAATGAACCACAATAACGCTGCAGCAGCTCAGAAACGACGACAAGAACGACATCGGAGAAGTGAATGACCAGGTGAATAATCTTTAAGAAAGTATTTTTGAAGAGGCGTTTTAGCTCAACTTGACCCTACGAAGTAGTGTCTAACGGCGGTCCATCCCGGCCAAATACAAGCTGCAGCAGCCGGAGTTTAGTTACGTAGGCGTATTGTTTAGCAAGGCCAATATAGTTAGGTAACACTATCTGCGTATAGACCCGAATGAGGCGTACCTTTAGCGCACAATACGAATAGTGCATTCCGTCCGAAAAGTTGGTGGTATCTTTTGAAGACAACCCCCTCCAAAAACAAAAATAAAAGATTGTAGCTGAAATCAACGATGTCAAACGACTATTCAATATAGTGATTTTGTCAGATATGAGGTTCGTCAAAAAAGCGTCTAAGGGTATGAAAGTTGGTATTCTACATTCATATCTACAAATAAACACTATCACCGCAGATCATCGAATCCGGAGTACTATATTATATAGCGCTCCATACAACCGATTTTTTCAAATATGAGGTATTGGGTCATAAGTCCGTCGAAAAAAAACATCTAAACATATTAAATTTGGTACTCAACCTACGTATGTACAATAGAAATAATACTATCATTGAAATCGGAAAACTTCATTATATAGCCCCAGATATGAGAATTAATATTTATTCCTGAAATGAAATACCATAAATTTTATGTCATCCTGAAAGGTAGAAAGACTTGGCATGATCGAAGACAGATCTTCCTTCTTATTTAATTTTGATAATAGGTTTAAGTTGCATTAGAAAAATGTAATCCAAAATTAAAAAAAAAAACAAAACGAAAAAGATTGGATTTTTGAGTCTAGGAAATACAACATCAATATCCGGGAAGTCCGAAAAAATGTTTGAAAAATGCTAAATATTTTTCCACAAATTATTTTAATATTTATCTTTTCAGACAACTATCAATAAAATTATTCCCTCCATGATATTAATGTTATTTCTGTTGCCTATTGTACATCGGCCGCGGTAGCGTATTGGTTAGCATTGCGTACTGCTAATCGGAAGGCTCGGGTTCAAATTCTGGTTTCGTACTAACATCCAAAAAGTTATAGAATATTAATTGAAATAAAAAAATTGAGTAACATTTTCTAATTGCGGTCGCCCGTCGGCAGGGAATGTCAACCTCTCTGAGTGTAATTCTCACATGAAATAAAGGCTCCTTATAAATAAAATATCAGCCGATCGGAGGCAGCTTAGTATAAACTATAGGTTCCACAATTTCTTGGAAAAACATCAAGATGCAAAAGCAAAAATTGGAGGAGGAGCTCGGGCGAAAATCGCTTCAACGGTTACAAAGCGGCAATTACAGATATGTATATATATTGTCAAGAGCAAAATAAATAAATATTTGCAATAGATGCAATAGACAAATGAGCGTTGTGTACACATATATTCACATATAATATTACTCTCATACAACTATTTCTTCAAACATAGTATTTTTAGTTATAAGTCCGCCAATAAAATAGTTAAGAGCGGTAAATATGTATTCTGCGTAAACAATCATTTTATTTACTTGAATATAAAAATCCTTCAC